TACTGATATAAAAGTCCAAACTGATAAGAAGATGAAGATACATTGTCAGACAAACAAGCTACTTCTTCGTCCATCCCAAGATGAAAACATTTCGTCAAAATATTCCTTCATTTCCGTGTGGAACATTGGACTTGAAGCTTTCGAAGTTTCAGTAATAGGAGTGCTGTTTGTAGACAGTGGGATTGTTAGCTTCACTCGCAGTCTCCCATCAGTGCCGGGCTTACTAGTGAATAGAGTGTAGGAGGAGTGCATCAACCCGGAGTCGAGCCTAGACACGGCAAGTGTGACTGGCAAGCATTCTACCAATGAATCAACACAGCACAAAATATTTAGGTTTGAAATATTCATTAGTACCTACTATGGCAGTCACCTCTCTATCTCAACTTCATCGACTTTGAAAAGGCCTTTGGCAGCGTCGATCGAGAGGTGCTTTGGCAACCACTTCGCTACTATGGGGTGCCACCGACAATTATACATATCATCCAACAGCTGTACGACAATGCTGCATGCCAAGTAATCCACAACGGAAAACTTACGGAATCCTTCGAAGTGAGGACAGGAGTAAGACAAGGTGGCTGCCTACTATCGCCAATGATTTTCCTGATCGCAGTAGACTGGATAATGCGACAAAGAGCGGGCAATGAGGAAACAGGCATAAAATGGACTCACACAAAAAACTTGGAGGATCTGGACTTCATCGATGATATATGTCTGATTTCCCACAAACTGGAAGATATGCAAGCGAAAAGCAACAAGTTGGCAGAAGAAGCATCAAAGATAGGCCTTCAGGTGAACATAGAGAAAACAGAGGTGATGAAGATTCCTGGACGAGAACAACAACAACAGACAAAGATCAGCATAAATGGGAGGAACCTGAAAGAAACAACCTCTTTTACCTACCTGGGAAGCATCGTTTCAACTACAAGTGGAACTGACGAGGATATCAAAGCAAGAATCGGAAAAGCAAGATAAGCTTTCATTACTCTCAAGTCTGTGTGGAGGTCAACAGCACTCAGCATCAAAAATAAGATCCGGATTTTCAACTCCAATGTGAAGTCAGTGCTACTCACTATACGGATCAGAGACTTGCACTGCGCGTCATAAAGAGCACCTCAAACAAACTACAGACTTTCATTAACAGTTGTCTTCGCTCAATACTCAAGATCAGATGGCCAGAAAAGATCAGCAACAGAGATCTCTGGCAATGAGCGAACCAACACAGCAGGAACCGATTGTGAAACAAATAAGCAGGAAGAAATGGAGATGGATTGGCCATACTCTGAGGAAACCATCAAGTGAGTGACATCACTAGACAAGCCATTGCTCGAGTGGAACCCGAAAGGGATGCGGCGAGTTGGTCGTCAGTGCAAGGGTGACCTGGAGGAGGTCATGTGAAGAGGAGATGAAAACGTGTGGGCAGAATTGGAACCAGGTGAAGACTCTAGCAGAGAACCGGACGCAATGGAGACGCACAGCTGGAGCCCTATGTTCCTCTAGGAATTAAAGGAAACAATGATAATGGTACAGCAGTTAACATCTTTAGAAATCCAAACAGAAACTTCGAGGTTGACAAAATCTTGTTGATTGATACATTCAAGTGTGTTGGTTTGCAGGGATTTGGATTGATTTAAGGATTTCATCATGAACTGACATCGGTTTAAAGAACCACATTGGAAAACCAACAGAGAGCACTGCACACCTGTTTCGTCAGCCTGGTTTGGGACTCTTCATCGGTACGTACCCACACCACGGGGTTCGAACCCACGACCTTCTGGTTACAAGGCTAGCGAGCTCGTAGACCATTAAGCCACTGGGACCCGATCCAATGGCCAGCCAGCCCATGAATTCCAACTTCTGCCAATTCATGATATGGTGCGACCACTAGAGAATGTCATCCGTGGCAAGTATTTGTCCTCACACCCCCAGCCTGCTGTACCTCACTGGCCACAACTTCCCACTAGAACCCAGGTAACTAGCTACATGAATAGGGTCAGTCGCTAGTGAGCATCAGATTGATATTCAAGTGTTGGTTTGAAGGGATTTGATTGGTTTAAGGATTTCATTATGAACTGACATCGGTTTAGATTGATACATTGTCAAAAGACAGATGAGAAACTGCTTCAAAATGACTGCTACTGTGGTGAGAGCTGGCTGCTAGCCAAAGTTAGTAGACAGTAATTGACGTCAATGTTTATGTTCCCAATATTGGTGGTGAGAAAATGAGAACAAAGGCTTTGCGTAGGCGGATACAGTTAGCATATGGATGATCTGACACAGCCACAAAGAGATGCAAGGTTAACTTTCTGTGAGAAACAACCAATCAAAAGACTGTATTTTCTACTAACAATAATGTACATTAAAATCTATAAATATGTGTTGATTTTCCTTAATAAACGATCTGTTGCCTGACCCTTGTCTTCTGTTGTTACACTACTACCAATTACCTATATTCTTTCAGTATCCTATAGTTTTCTTAAATCGATAGTGTCCTTAATTACTGTACGCACTGTAAGTACATGTTATATTTGAAGTAAACTTTCTCATTGTATCTACTAACTGAATAATTGTAAGTTTAAAACTCTTTTCCCAGAAAAAAAAACAAAAACAACCATACTTTAAATTAAGATAAACTAAACTAGTACAAGTATGATTTGTTGCAATCCAAATTAGAAAAAATTTGCAGTTTAACACCTCGTCTTATTCAATCTCCGTCAAGAAACTGATATGCAGAGACCATCTTGAAATTGTAAACATTGGCAAATCACTTAAGAGGTTTGCAGGTAGATATCAATTATCTCAGAAATTTCATTTTAATTTCAATAGAAATGAATAGTGAGACTGTTGTTTTACAGGCACAAGATGGCGCATTTACAGTGAGAGAAAAACAGCCTCACTGTATATGAACACTTCACTAACACCCTTTTTATTACAACGATATCTCAAATGTTCTATAGTTTGGTTTGTAAGGGTTAGTTATGTTTTTACGAGTTGATCACGGATTGATATCAGTTAGAGAACCATTGAAAACCAGGGAGTACTGGACAGCTGGTGTTTCATCCTAGTTTGGGAATCATCGGCAGTACGCACCCACTGGGTTTGAATCCCAGTGGGTGCGTACTGCCGATGATTCCCAAACTAGGATGAAACACCAGCTGTCCAGTACTCCCTGGTTTTCAATGGTTCTCTAACTGACATCAATCCGTGATCAACTCGTAAAAAAATATCTCAAATGGAAGAAAGTAGAACCTACCAAACGTAACGTGCCTCAAAGTAATTGACTGATAAGCAACAAAGAAAAATATCAAAAAACACAACAAAACAAACAACAACACCATGTTAAGACGACATTCTATGTACCAGCAAAAATTCAGTGCTCTCCTTAAATACGATTCAGTGTTTTCGCAACAGCAATACTTGCCCGAACATATCTCCAATTTTTTCGTCCCTTTTTTAAAAACTCAGTCCTTGTACCAGACTATGAGCCATACTTATTGTGTGAGGTTTCATGCTACTACCCAGTTGCCTAAGCTGAGGTAGGTGAAGCGGGACTCGAACCCAGGACCCAGTGACTGCAAGTCCGATGATTAAACCAATGTGTCGCTTTTCCACTAAAATTGAACTAATGACTGTTTACAGGATAAAAAAACAATTTAATTTTTCATTATTGATTATTATTCCCTTGAGTTCCGAGTGGAAAATAGGGTTTCAACAGAACATCTCCATTTCAGCCTGTCCTCTTTAGATGGCTTAACGATTGTCCATAGACTCTTATCATTTCGTCATCCGATCTCCTTCATGTCACCCCGGACCAAGTTCAACTCGTTTCTAATAAGGGTTCCACTTGAAGGCCTGGCGCGCAATGTCACCCAACGGTCTCCTTAGCGTGTGTTCGATCCATCTCCATTATCCTCTGTACATTTGTTGGGCAATAGACTGTTGGATGGTTCGTTCCCAGAATTCCTTGTTGGTAATTCTTTCTGGCCGTCTGTTCTTGTGTCAAGTCAACGGAGAAAGATATTGATAAGTCAATAGCAGGTGGTTGGAAATGCTTTTAGTGACTCATCAAGTTTCTGAACCGCATAGAATCCTTGACTTGAAAATCCCAAACCTGTTTTTTTTTATGCTGAGTGCGTCAGATTTCCATATTGATTTCAGATTAATGAAGGCATGTCTTGCTTCTCCGATCCTACCTGGCTTTGACATCCTATGGTTGAAACGAGGCTTCCTTCAATTTCCTCCTCTTGATAGCGATTGTTGGCGGTTGCCATTGTTGATTGTGAGAAGTTTTCAACAATGAATATTTGTCCATCGAGATATTTAATGGAACCTAACATTAAGATGACTTCGATTCTGGGCATTTTTAAATTACAACAACAATATTGCCACACTGATTGTATTTTAGAAGCCAGAAAAATGAGATACTCAGTACAAATAGATGAAATTAATCTATAGAAACAGTAAAATTTCGTAAATTTAATGAATGAACATACTAACCTACATAAGTTGAGCTGCCAATAATGTGATACTCAAAACGCAGTATATACTTCTTTTATTCATTTCAGTTCCCAGTAGAACATATGGCTGCAGACTAGTGCTACAAAGTTTCAGTAGCAGTGGCGTTTTTACAGGATCGGGTTGCTAGCCTCACGCCCAACCTTCCCTCTTCACCGCATTTACTACTGGGTAAGCGAAGTCTAGGTTAGGAGTTCGTCGGCCGGGGATCGAACCCCGGACCGCTTGCGTGGTTGGCCAGTGTTCTAGCATTAAGCCACCGACGCACAGTGTATACACTTGTACCTCTATTCAAATATTTATACTTACAAATGTGCTGTGTACTTTTAACTGGGAAACTTTAACCCTTATATCAAAAAACTGTAGACTACTGTAATTGGTCATAAACACTTAGCGTTCCTATCACCTAACCACGCACACACCCCCACCCCACAAAATAAGAAGAAACAACAGTGAACAACAACAGCAACGAATAAACAAAAGCTTACCATAAATATCGAAATATACTAATGGTCTGTTACTTTCAGCATAAAAAGTGCTACGAAAAAAAGTGAGAGGAGAAAAATATTACTGAAAATTGAAGTAGTATACAATGATTAAGAACAAAGTCAACTCTACCGATAGTAATAATAATAATATAATGATAACAATTATCGTTCTAATTACATGAATGAGTACAAAAATTAAACATAGAAACAGATCTGATTTTTGATTTCTAAAGTGTTATTCAGCCGAAACAAAGCACAGGTTCACATGCATTAGACTGTAATAATGCTTAGTAATAATATCTCCCTGATGTCACAGCTTGCTGGCCAGCTCACCCACTCACTACACAAGTAACATCATGTTTACCTTAAGACATCCTCGAAACTTCCATACTATAGGCAGGCGACAAACTAACAGAAGCTGAGTATTTCGGTTCAATATAATCACAGTGAGAAATTCAGAGTAACTTCAATAAATAACAACTAATACTATTCTGCAGTTCATTGGATAACACTATGTCAAGTCAGTCCTTCTATACGTGTCAGAAACTTGCACTGCGCTCGCGTCAAGAAAAGGATTTCCAACAGGCCAGTGCAGACTATTATCGACGGCTGCCCACTTCGCTGGCTCCATATACTAAAGATCAAATGGCCAGAAAAGATGAGCAACAAGAAAGTCTGGCTGGGAACAAACCAACCAACCAAGAGCCGATCGCTCAACAAATATGTAGGAGAAAATGGAGTTGGATCAGGCATACATTGAGGAGACCATCGAATGATATCGTGTACCAGGCGACTAGTGGGTCGTCGGTGCGAGAGTGACATGGAGGAGATGAGAGGTTATGGGGAGTCGTCGACCCAGCTGAAGAGGACGACAGAAGATAGGACAAAGTGGAGATGTGTTGTTCAAACCCTATGTTCCATTCGGAACCCAAGGGGATAATAATAACAATAATGTATAATTTGAAGTGTTTGAAGCAGTGACTACTGCGGTTCGGTTCTCAGTGAGAACATCATCCATCACACTTACTGGGGATGTGTAAGCACACATCCAGATGACCAGTCCTAGGAGATGAAACGCGTAACCTAGATTACCCTAATGATAGCCAACAGTGATATCTATCTGTTGTTTTAGATTTTTTTTAAAGAAACTGAACAGTTATACTGCTGTTTTTTATTTAAGAAAAGTTATACTGTTTAAACTTTAATTCGTTTTAATGCGTAATGTGAACGAACAACAAAAACATTTCAGACATGATGTATATTATTAATAGAAAAAAAAAATATGGATAATTTTTAACTGATACATCAACTAAAAGGTATAAGAGAACTGACAAACAAACATTTAGCTATAGTTTTTTTTCTAAACAATCAATTTAACTTTTGATTTATGAAAGCGTACAAAAATGATAGACTGTCTCTATATATAATAAAGTGAATGTACAATCTTGAAGAGGCAGATTTAAAACCTATACAGCATTAAGGCAAAAGAAACAGCTCTTACAAAGTATGCATATATATTGGTCTCGTAATCAATTTCTGGACAGTCATTTCATGTTAAGACAAGTCGTACGTCACATATATCTGATAGTTTAAGACATATAAATGTTGCTAAGCAATTCAAACACCTAGAGTTGGGCGTCTTAGTAATGATGAAACAACAATAAATACTGCTGATATTTTTTAACTACCCTCGAGAACAATGATTTGCCTTCTTTTAGACATTAACCATAAAACTATATATTATTATTATTGTTCCCTTGGGTTCCTAGTGGAACATAGGGCTTCAACTGCACGCCTCCACTTGCTTCTGTCTTCTGCTGTACTTTTCACTTGCATCCATGTTAATCCATACTGTTTCAACTCTTCTTCACACGATCTCCTCCATGTCACCCTTGGACGTCCCACTCGCCGCTTCCCTTTCGGGTTCCACTCGAGCACTGGCCTGACGCGCGATATCACCCAGCGGCCTCCTCAGCGAGTGTTCAATCCATCTCCACTTTCTCCTGCATATTTGTTGGGCGATTGGTTCTTGTTTTGTTTGTTCCCATAGTTTCTTGTTGGTGATTCTTTCCGGCCATCTGATCTTCAGTATAGAGCGAAGACAGTTGTTGTTGATAAAGGTCTGCAACAGGCTGTTGGAAATATTCTTTGTGACCCGCCAAGTTTCTGATCCGTATAGCAAAACTGACTTGACGTTTGTATTGAAAATCCGAATTTTGTTGTTGATGCTGAGTGACGAAGATTTCCAGATTGGTTTCAGGTTGATGAATGTATAAAACTATATAAGAAGACTGATATAAACTGTTGCCCTGAGGATAGGATTCACTATGCTAAGAGAATTTCGATGAATTATTTCATTTCAAGAGAAAAAAAGAGAATTCCAGTGGATTTTGTGTGTGTGTGTTTAGTTTGCTGAAATGGATTCCGAGAAATATGTGAAAAAGTAATCTACAAAACGGTAGATTGCTAGCCAATTATGCACATGACCCGGAGGGTTCAACTTCAGACCAATAATGCACTCTTAAACCTCAGATACCTAGTAGTTAGCTCAATAAAGAGGGAAATTTGGTTGTGAGGCTAACAACCCAACCCAATAGGAACAGCATCGCCGCTACTGAAACTGCAAAGCTCGAGCCTGAAGCTGTACTCAAGGGAATGAAGAAAAAATTCCCAGAACATTGATAAATGAACAAAGAGTATTCCTCATCGACAAATACCTATTTCAAGTGTTACAGTTATATGCTCATATTAATTAAGGAATAATTGTTATTATCAACATGAATATTTTCTTATAAATCATGAATTATTACAATTCAATTGGGGCATTAATCACGAACATTTACCAGTTCATATTGATTATCGCACATATTAATAATCGAGGGTTTTCACTTAGTAAAATGGGGTGAGCAGTAGGAAAAAAAGATTAGATAAGCTTACCCCTAGTATATTTAGCTAGGAGGTTAAACTAAAACTCAATTAGATTGTAATCCTCAAATTTTCCTATTCTGAAGAATGTAACTTGCATTTTTCCTAATTACCAAATATACATAAATTGCTGCTCATCAACAAACAAGCCTACTCTGTACACACATGGGATGTTTCATTTTCTTTTTACTGTCAGTATTTAAAAATCGTGCGTCGGTGGCACAGCGGTTAGGACGCTCGCCGACCATGCACATGGTCCGGGGTTCGATCGCCGGCCGACGCACTCCTTTACCTCGCTAAGCCAGTAGGGAGACTGGTAAAGCGAAAAGGTTGGGCATGAGGCTAGCAGCCCCATCCTGTAAAAATTAACACTGCTACAGAAACTTCAAGCCTCTAGCTTGGAGACCTATGTTCTACTGGGAACGTGAAGGAAAAAAATATTTAAAAATCAAAATACACTCAGGATGTAGGAAGTGAGACACTACTAAGAAAATGAACCAATACCAGTATTCGTTATATAATGTATTAAGTTACCAGCTGAAGTATGTCATAATCTCTTATTGTCAAAATAATAGCTCAGTCACAATTGAACTTAATAAGCTTAAGATGTTTATAAATAGGTACTCATGACTCAGGTGTGCAAACAAAACAGATATCAGTTAACTTCAGCAACTAGCATCAGAAAGTCAAACTCCAAAGAAAGAAGAACAAAATAACCAAGAGTAAAGCATTCTTGACTCTTTTTACATTCAGAAGAGGATCCTGACCCTAGCTAACTCATTGGATTTCAACGTAAAACTTAGTGCGAAAGAGCAACAGTTCAGTTTGTCACACTACGTTTAGCACAAAAAAAGAAAAGATAGAAATAAGCAGAAATGTGAGGCAGAAGGAATAGTAATATGGAAAAACATGAGGATTTAATGGATATGGGGGATCACAAGGAGTGAATGCATCAACGCCATATCAGCGATAATCTTAAGTCATTTGTTCTTGGAAACCTGAGGACACCAACCAGGAAGTCTATACCTCCTCACATGGCTGGTTGGCTTAAATCATCTGTCAAAGATTTCATTGACATGGATGATAGGTCTTGGTTTGACCATACCTGACTATTTTCCAATCCAACTCAATGACGAGGAATGCGATGGCTCTGCATGGGCAATATGTGCTGTAGCCATCTTAATCGATTCACCTTCACAGCCTCATTAACTGACTTTCCCAACAACTTATCTGACACACTACGCCTAACCTCAATATTACTCAATAACCTTAAAATAACTAATATAGTTAGTTAGTGCAACAGTCAGATTTTCTTAAACGATATAGTTTGGACATAAGAGCACTGCGATGATGATAATGAGTAATTCTGAAAACATGAATAGACCAAAAACAATCGTAGACTCATGAAGAAATAAGTGTAATTATGTACGTAATGGTTGTAGACACTGAACAGCAACAGATTAGAAAAGTTAAAAATATAGCCATATATAATCAAACATTATCCTCAAAACTAGTCCGCTTGAAGAACTATACCTAGAAAACATCTATAATAAAGACCTGCCTCTCGTATACAGGTTATGTCAAATTATATCATTCAGCTATCTATATCCCATAGCGTTCGAACGAAAACAGAATCCAACCCTTAATACTAAGATAAGGAATGGTGGAAAGAACTATACAAGCTATGTGTATGTATGTATGTATGTGTGTATGTATGTATGTATGTATGTATGTATGTATGTATGTATGTATGTATGTATGTATGTATGTATGTATGTATGTATGTATGTATGTATGTATGTATGTATGTATGTATGTATGTATGTATGTATGTATGTATGTATGTATGTATGTATGTATGTATGTATGTATGTATGTATGTATGTATGTATGTATGTATGTATGTATGTATGTATGTATGTATGTATGTATGTATGTATGTATGTATGTATGTATGTATGTATGTATGTATGTATGTATGTATGTATGTATGTATGTATGTATGTATGTATGTATGTATGTATGTATGTATGTATGTATGTATGTATGTATGTATGTATGTAAAAGGAAAGCCTAGAGATATTCGACTAAGGCAACAAAACATACATACATACATGCACGCTGAACATAACTAAATAATTGGAGATAATATATAATAAACTACAGTATTATTATATTATATCCGATGTAAATAAATAGGATACACAAATCTTCTTTAAATACATAAACTGGTGCGTTAAATAAAGTCAACAAGAAATAATTAGCAACGATAATAACAACAATAGTAGTAGTAGTAATTATAATTAAAATAATAAAAATGTTTAAACTGGAAACATGAAAATAAAAACTTCCAGGAGAGGTGAACATCGGGAAACATTTTTATTTCAAAACTATGATGACAAATTATATATATATAAATAGGCATTCAGAATAATAAAGAAATTACGCATAATAAAACTGAAAACAAAGAATGATTGAAAAAAGAATAAATAAATAAAAGGGAAACAATTCAAATGACTATTATGTGCAGGACAGTAGTCAGCTAACACATCCACAAAGCCAAACACGCACGCACGCAGCACACACACACACACACCTTTGTACATTCACACATACAGACACATCATAAATGGGAACAAAATCAAAAGTTAAAAAAAGAACAAAACAAAACAAATGAAAAACCAAAAAAAAACATTCTTAACAATGATTAGTTGTTAGTCAGAGGAATTAATTAGTACTTCATTTGAAAATACAAGTAATGATGAGATGAAACAAAAACTACTGAGAATATTGAATGAATGAAGGCAGGAGAAACAGAGACAAGAGGGGAGGGGTGATACATCAGGTATTACTGTCAAGTGAGTTGTTAGTGTTTTATATTATTACACAGGAAACTGAATTGTATCGAACGAAATTAATTATTATTATTATTATTATACCATGTGGTTTATGTGATGTGATGTGATGAAAAGAGGAACAAAAACTGGGTAAGTTTAACCAATGTGAAAAAGTATAACCAATCAATCGGAATTATTATTAGTTAATATTAGGGAAACAAAAGAGGAGATTACAATTATATGTTATATATATATATATATATTACCTTGATTAAAACAAATTTTAAAAAGGAAACAAAAAAAGAAACAATTCAATCACACATATGTACAGAGAAGAAAACTGTATATATTTGTGTATATGTGATGATTACTGTACAGGGAGAAATGCAAATCTGATAATACATACATGTATATATATAATACATTCTTAAATCTAATTTGATATACACAATAGGTATATACTTATTTTTATACAAGCACAGTGTGGCATTGAACGACAACTATTCATTGTCATCACTACCCTCGAGCCATGAGTCAAGCGTAGACATACGCACACGTTGAGCTTTATTACGTTTCTGATTATTATTATTATTACTATTCGTACTATTGGGTACTGTTTGGCCAGATGGTGTATCCGGTGAATCATCATCCGGTTGAGTATAGGATTCAAGAAGTTTCAATTCAAAAGAAGGCAGTCCTTGTGAAATGAAGATGTTAGAGAAATTGTCCACATTTTCAAGGTATAATTGCTATCAATCAGGGAGGAAAAGAAAAAAAAGGGAAATTAGGTAAATAAGATGAAAACAGAGCAACACTTAGCAAAATGTATATTTCCCTGGCGAAAAGAAAACATGAATTCTAACAAATACACAAAATCTCACTGAGTTCTAGTAAGAAGCCGCGACTAGTGAGGTCCATTGGGTCGGGTATGAGGATAAGTCCTCACTGATGACACTGGCGCTAAAGATGGCGAGTGGCTGAATGCTCAACAAGTTCGCCTTGTAACCTGCATGTCCTGAGTTCAATCCCTGATTGGGTTGGTGATGGGTGCGTGCTGATGAAGAGGCCTAAACCAGAATGAGACAGATGTTTAGTACTCTCTAATTTTACTAGTTCTCTAACTGATACTGATCCGTGGTCAGACTTGAAACCAATCAAATACCTACAAATTAACATCGAGAAATACACATAAATCTTCAACCAAACTACGTACCACGCATATTGTGTGATAACTGTCTAGATGTCTAGGCTGAAATAACCAGAGTAGGTCTTAAACCCGGGAGTGCTTAAGCCGGCGAGCCACACCACTACCTAAGACCAGGATTTTTACAGCAACGTGTCACTAAAATACGGAAGACGATTGATACTTTTGGAAAATGTCGTTGAATAGCTTCAGAAGGGATTGATGTATCTATCCTTCCGTCTACACAGATCATTCCACAGATCAGAATGCCGCCGTTGAACACAGAGATCTCTTTCCGTAACTTCACTTCAGATCTGTACAGTTGTTTAGGGGGTTTATATATATACAAGGTTAATTGACAACAAAGGTCAGGATTATTGTCAGTTGGTGAGAGAATAAGTCAGTGTATGAGTAGTAACAGTGTTTAGAAAGGTGTGGATAAGCCCACGTAATCGGGAGGGTCGACAACTTACTAGTTGAATGATGAGTAATCATTTGGAAATAATCGATAAGAAACAATAGAGAAAAGGACTGAAAATAGCTTAAAAATAAGAAATAAAAGGGGCTGCACAGAGCTGATTACAGAAGGATTTAAGTAAACAAAACTGACACTAAAGACCACAGTAGTGAAAGAGGCTGGATAAAACGTTTCTGAACACAAAGTTCAGGTTTCTTCTAATGGATTGCTAAAGTTTCGACTGCATAAAAAAGATGTACACGAAATTCCTCTGAACAGCTTGACCGTACTCTAATGCATGACTCTAACTGTAGCCTCCACACTGATGTTGCGTGACCAGAAGTAATGATGTCCTCCAGAATTGAGCTGTTGACCGTTCTGCGGTGTTGTACAACAACTGACACGTAATCATTCATTTTTAATCCTTTGTTTCCTTTTCACTTACTTCCAAATGACTATTCATTAGTGTTGTCAACTCTCCTGATTACGTGAGATTATCCACACTTTTTTAAACATTGTTACTATTCATACACTGACAACAATCCTGACTTCTGTTGTCAGTTAACCTTGTATATATATAAACCCCCTAAATAACTGTACAGGTTTGAAGTGAAGTTACGAAAAGAGGGGATGTCTTTGCTGACTTCCTTGTTCTTAATTCAGGCAATTTACAAGAGGAGTCTTCAAAATAACGGGGAAAAAGTTACTCAGAATTATTAGTTACTGACCTTTTCATTAGACATGTGCAGAAGACAGTTTAGAGCTATTGATATACTAAGCTCCTTGGCCATTTGCCAACTGATACGACCTGATAAACTGTCGATCACTTCGGAAAAACTTTTTGCTCCAGGGACTTTAGGTAGGCATGAAGCCTTAGCTTCATCTGATCCAGTCACACAATCATCCATTGATTTCTCTTTATCTTCACCTGCATTGACAGCAGAGGTGGCATCGTCAACAAAACTACCAGCATCAGGAGCTGACGTTGTAGAAGCTACTGATGGAGAAAGTGATTGAATATTTGGGTTGACACGAGGAATTGAATGCTCGAGGAATTGCCACATGGCAGACTTCAAACGTTGGACGTTAATCATTTTAGCAGTCCTAGCATAACCAATCTCAATACGGGCTACTTTATTTGGTTGTGAGATTAACTCCATATCGTCGAGACCATAGTCATTGTAACCAGTATTCTGAAAATGGAAAGAAGACTGTTTATAAAAGTTCTAAAATAAGAAAATCGACAGCTATACAAGAATATTTATGACATGAATGCAAGCTTCAACCGTCTGCACAATTAGATGCTATGATTTTACTCACAAACTATTTGCAATCGCAACCAGTCGCCAATGATCCTCGGCTATTTTGAAAGGGCTAGTGATACCAGCTGAGTACCCGAACCTCAGTAGGTGAAGCGGGAGTCGAACTGACAACCCACTTGGTTGAAAGTTGGCCGTCTAAACTGATGAGCCACAGAGCTCTATAGGTGTTGTGATAGTGTTTAGTAAATAGAAAAAAAAGAATTTGACATTGGATAACAGATTAGCCGAATAACGACCACAGCGGTAGTGAATGGAAAAGATAATTGGTAGAAAGGAATCCAAGTGTGCAAAGATGACTGTCTGTTTTCGACTCTGTCTGTCTGTCTGTTTTCGACATAGGACTTTGCACATATGTGCGGCAGTTCAAGTCGCCACACTCCATATAGCACACAAAGCAAGAGAAGAAAGTAGAAGAAATGCAAAATATAAACAGTAAACAGAGGTGTGAGACAAAGGAATAGTAATAACGAAGAACAAAACAGTTTCATTGGAAATCATAAGTTACAAGGAGTGGATGCATCTGCGCCAGCCATTGAGAACGATTTTGAGTCATGTCACCAATTGTTTCCAACCATTGGTTTTTACCGTCCCGAGGACCCCAACCAGGAAGCCAGTCTACACCTTCCTACGTGGCTTAGACTAACTGTTGTAGATTTCATTGACTGGTGCCATGTTTTGGTTTGACCGCCGCTAGCTCTTTTCCAGCCTGACCCTATATCAGCTAACATTGCCCGTCGAGGAAGGCGATGACTAGGCATACGTAGCACATGTCCTAACCATCTCAGTCGATGTAATTTCACAGTCTCGTCTATTGATTTCCCCTCCTTACCTAGCACTCGACGCCTAACCTCAATATTGCTCACCTTATTATACCACTTCACATGGGAGATAGAACGCAGACACCTATGATCAAAGACAGCTAGCCGGCCTTTTCATGTCTTTCACTCTCAATGGCCAGGTCTTACAGCCATAAAGGAGGACGGAGCGGACTGATGAGCAGTACATATGGTCGATAGTCGGATATCACGTCTACGCCAGAGACGGCGTAAACTGGCATATGCGAAACTAGCCCTCTGTATCCGTGCAGAGATTTTGTCAGAGATCAACCCGTTGGGGCTGATGGTACTTCCCAAGTAAGTGAAGCGGTCAACGTGCTCTACCACTTCACTTCCTATTTCTAATCTAGGAGTGCAAAGACTGTACACCCTTACCACACTGAGTCAAATATATGGTTTAAAGCATTGTATGCTAAAATCAGGTTCAGTAATCTAAGTGAATTCGATGTCCTAAAAAGCTGATATTACAAGATTTCAAGATAACTTTCTACACGAGTGTAATGTCTTCAATCTAGACTATTCTTAAGACGATTTGGTTGAAGCCGAAAGAAAATTTATATTCCCTTAGGTAACTTGGAACCGATTTAATCATCAATTCGAGACAATGATTGACTGAATTTCAACAGAGAACTTTGCACAGAAGTACACAGCATCTCAAGTTGTCACACCCTCGATGTAGCACACAAAGGTACACAAAAGAGATTCAAAAGAACCATAAGTAGAAATGTGTGAGAATAACGTACATCGAGAAACATAAGGACTTGAGAGATATGGAATATCACAAGGAGTAAATGCATCTGAGTCATAGAGAACGATTTTAAGCCATACCATCAACACTTCCCAGGTATTTTGGTTCTTAACATCCCGAGAACCCCAAAACCAGGCAGTGTAGTGTACACCACCCTACATGGCTGGCTCAAACCAACTGTTAAAGACTTCACAGACTGATGTCACGTTTTAATTTGACTAACAATAACTCTGTTCCCGCGCCTAATCCTACGAGACATCGATTATATGATAAGTACTGTTTAAAGTTATTCATTTTTATGCAGATGGGCATGTTGCCTTAGAAAACGAAATTTGTTCGTTAGCGTTGAAAAAAACTAACGGAAAAGTAGGATTGTATGACGTCAATGGTTCAAATGTAGAATACTCGTCAATGCACGTACGTGGTCTGGGGTTCGATCCCCAGTCGACGCACTCCTTAACTTTTCCTAGTCGATCGTAAGCCCAGAAGGTCCTGGGTTCGAATCCGGGCTGTGGGTGCGTACTGCTGAAGAGTCCCAAACTAGGCTGATGAAACAGCTGTCCAGTACTCCCTGGTTTTCCAATGGTTCTCTAACCAATGTCAGCTCATGATGAAATCCTGTAACCAATCAACCAAATCCCTACAAACCAATACTTGAATATCAAAGAGGGAAAGGTTTGAAGTGAGGCTGGCAGTCTCAACCCGTAAGAAATAAACACCACTGCTACTGAAACTTCTGAGCTGAAGCTTGAATGAAGCCCTATGTTCCCCAGTGGGAACGCAAAGGAATAAAATAAAGATTAATAAATCTTTCGATCTAGAAAGGGGAGAGGAGGAAAGGTATTTCTTTTTCACCACTTATTCATACTAATTGAAATTTATATTTTAATCTATTATTGAATAACTAATTATCTTATAGACTCTTCAAAAATCAGCTTACCTGGGTAAAAGCACACTCAAACGGTAATGCGTCATCATCATCATCATCGTCATGGTCAGGCAATCGGTGATCTAATCCATCGTCCATATCATCATCACCATACATATTACCATTATCTGGAACACCAACTATCAGTTCATTCATTCCGTTCACATTATCACCATTTTCATTCTAAAAGTTAAATAGAAAAAGCGATTTTAACCTAATATATTTAAAGCCACTTAAAACATACATACACACAAACAAACAAACAAAGTAAATAAATCAAATTGAGAACAAAAAGATGACAGGTAGTCAGTCTATACACCGAACAAAGCAGTTTTTTTGGAACACACGTCACGCATATAATGATGACAGAGTTATTATTATTACAGCGTTAAGCATTACAATTTCTTTCCAACTCACCAAAACACACACTCTCTCTCTCACACGGACGGATGGTAGTCGTACAAACTTGGTACGAATATGAGCGCTAACTAAGAGATATACCATGACGCATGCATGAATATCCTCAAGGAACTCAGTAATAAAAATAAATGCGCAAAAAGAAAAGAACACTATTCGCCTACTCTTTATCCGTCGGATTATGTCAAGTGCAGGCTTACATATGTGACACAAGAGAATGCAGAGGTGATTTCTTATATTATTCATGGTGTAAATCCGATAGATTGTTATTATATACTCCCAATTTTGCCTAATATTAACTATATTTCGCGAGTTAAAACCGGCTTCAAAAGGAATCGACAAGTAGACGTTGGTTAGTGAAGACAAGGGATTCCCGCCAGTACTTGATTGGACAACATTTGATGCTCGACTTTATGCAACCAATAAAAATTGGCCTATTGGTAGTGTGCATTTTTTCTACCAAAAATGTATAGTAGTCCTTTGTTGAGTAATAGGGGGGGGGGGCGTGACGCAATTGATATAATTACTCAGAAGTGATGTCAAAAGTAGCGTCTTTTATTGTATCTTTTTCTTTCAATAAAGTTATTGTTCTCACCGACGCAGACCAACTTTGTCCTCCGTGGAACGGAAGGTATTTTTGAACGAGAACAATCGTATTCAATCTTCGGACTAGTTACCTATCCTATCGTATTTCAGTATCGAACTCAGTTATAACAAGATGCTGTAAGCATGAGAGAATATAGAATCTATTAAATCTTTGCACTTGAATTTTTATTACACTGAAGCAGTCCACAGATTCCAGATGTAAAGCTTATACTCCTCACCCGCGATTGTAAAGTTCCTATCAGAAATTTGGTGAAACAATTGATGATTCACCATCAATGAAGTAATTAAGGTGATCTCATCGGGAAGACTTAGGCAGATATAAATTTTATACTAGTCAATTACAATTCTTCATATCGAATTAAAATTTGCACAGTGATAGAACAAGAACTTCTGTACTTACATTTTTATGAGAACCATTAACTGTATTTTTACCATCAGGCTGAGTATTTGACCGTAGGAGTACATCTCGATTAACAATTTGATATAAACTTTGACGAGTATCAGAAATTTCCGAGGGAATCATATTCATTTGACGGCTAGCTTTAAGTCTATAGGATTCTTTAAATACAGTAGCATTAGAAGCAGCACTGTTTTCAACACCCGATGGTTGAATACTATTAAGCCAATCTCGTCGGCATAGTTTTCCACTTCTATTAGAAAGAAAGAAAGAAAGAAAAAAGAGTAGTTAACAAGAGGAAAGTATACTGAATTCAAGCCATTAAAGGTAAACAAATAATTCCTCACTTCCCTTCAAAGTTGAACACATATGTGCAACAAAAGTGCGTGAAAGCCAAAGGTTGAGATGGTGTTAAAATGATACCCAAATGAAAAGAGAAACCGATCAATAGCCAGCTCACTGGATGAACCCCGGCCATTGCATGGTCGGCGAGCATCCTAACCGCTATGCCACCGACGCACCCATTCTACACCTTAGTAGGCGCGCTAATTCATTAACAGATCCTTCACTGAATAAAAACCAACCGCTTTCTTTTTTTGTAAAAAAAAAACAAACAAACAAAAATAGTGTGCAATGTGCGGTGACACATACTGTTTATGGATTGTGTTAGTTTATACGTTAGTTAACACCGTCGTCCTCAGCTATATAACAAGAAATGATTACCATTTCAAACTCACTAAAATATTGCCAAAATGTGTGTTATGAGATCTTGTCGTTGTTGTTAGTTGTTGTTAATTGGAGGCTAATATAACATCTAATAATGAAATCATTAATTTTACTGTTTGGTATTAATCTTGACGCGACTATCGACTAAACCCGTCATTCATAGGAAATACACGCATCACAATAGGTTTATGTATATACATATACACATGATAAACACAAGTAGCCGTCATTCACAGTATCCTAATGAAACAGATGGAATGTATGATGTAGATTCAAATCTTATATAGAAGAACTACAGTGAAAATGACAGTGAATTTTTTCAAAAAAAAAAAATAGTGTAAGTGAATAATTCAACTGTGAAAGTGTGTCATGTGCTACTGATAAGATTTATCAGTAGTATACAGAGAGATGTTCGTCGACATAAAAAGCATCAAATAGCAGAGAGATAGATTTGATGTCAGAGAAAGCAAATGACACAACGCTACAGAGGCACATGGGAGACGTGAAAGGAACACAAAGAAACACATTATGTGAAGGAAGGGCAGAAGTAGCACAACACGGAAGATCTGTGCAAATGGTGATTTGAAGATAAAGTGTCGATAATTTGGCTATATTTTTTTTCCTTCACGTTCCCCAGTGGAACATAGGGCTTCTAGTTAGTGACTTGAAGTTTCTGTAGAAGTGTTTATTTTACAGGATGGGGTTGCTAGCCTCATGCCCAACCTTTCCTCTTCACCAGCATTATTTCTGGCTTAGCAAGGTAAAGGAGTGCGTCTGTGGCCGGGGATCGAACCCCGGGCCATGTCCATGGTCGGCGAGCGTCCTAACCGCTATGCCACCGACGCAATTTGGCTATATAGAGATACCAAATTCCTAATGATCATTCCTTTACCAAGTCTTCCGTCTTCTGTCGTTAAAAATGGATCTAGGTTTGAAATCCCACTTCATCTACTTCAATCTAGTCGACTAGGTATATAGTGATCTGATATCAAACACCGAAAATATGCGTGACTCTTCTAGCCTGTTACATGAAAAACGTGTCCTAGATAGGTGAATTGTTACTCTAACCTACATATAGAGAAGGCAACAAATATGCAGGGAATCGACAAGATTTGATATACGTAAAGGTAAGTGTATCAAGGCAATAATAACTTCTAGATAGGTTGTTTCTTATTAAACGGTTTTTAATTTGAATAGTATAATTTTTTTAAATGTATACCTTAATTACTTATAAAATTAGAAAAAACAAACAAACAGAAAGATGTAAACAAATAATAGTAATAAAAATAAATAAGAATTACTTTGTTCGATTTTCGCCTGGTTTAAGTGCATCTAGATAGGAAATTTTTTGACCTTTGTCTTTCTTTGTTGATTTCGAACCTTTACGATTGCCTATTGTTTTGACACAAGTTTCCACTACATCACCATCCTTTGCATGCTCTGAAATTAATTCACGATTATTTACACAAAACATAGATAGAATGGAAAAAAAGAAAAGAAAGAAACAAAACGTTTAGGTTAACATTCCTTCTTAATTGAAATCAAATTATAGCCAATCATTACAGGGTGATTATTGAATTTGATCTCGAACTGACCTTCAGTTAGAAAACAATTGGAAATCAGAAGGGAGTATACTGGAAAGCTATTTAACTCTAGTTTGAGACGTATCAGCAGTACTACGCATGGAGGCTAACATGCGAGACAATAGACATGGCTCAAAATCGTTGTCAATGGCTTATGCAGATGTATTCAGTCTCTGTAATCTTTCATATTCCTTTCTACCATTACTTATTCTGTTTCACTCTTATACTTATCTAAATTCTATTGATTCCTTCACTCATTTCTTGTCTACCTTTGTGTGCTTTTGGAACGTGGCAACTCGAACTGCTGCACTTCGGTGCCAAGTTCTATGTTGAGTCCAGCAGCAGCAACTCACGCATGACTTCAATAGGAGTCGAATCCACAACCTTCAGGTTACACGGCGAGCTCCTTGACCATTCCAGTCAGTGAGATGGCTCATGAATTCTAACTTCTATCAGTTCGCGATTTTGATCAGTACGAGCATTGGACAACTATTTTGTCCCAGTGTGGGAGTCTCGCAGTGCGCCCTCACAACCCTGAAACACATCGGACTCAGTGATTTGATTATGCTGCTGATGTTAAATTCCAGTGATCCATGAGATCTGATCTTCGTCAATTCGTGAAACACAGTCATACAGAACTTATATACGACTGGATTTAAAGTCACTGGCTTAGAGACAATAATGCATATTCATTCGTCTTGTAACATGATAGATTTCTTGCAGGATTGTGGATTTACATAACCAAAGATCCCAAAACTAAGGCGAAACACTTATTCAGTATTACTGAGTTTCCATCGGTTCTCTAACCAATGTTGGCCCATCGAGGAAACTACATTACAGTTAGTCAACCCTCGACAAAATCTAACATCAGAAGTTAAAATTTTAATTAAGTTTGTTAGTGATACTTATTTTATCTTAATTATTTTTATTATATTCCCTTGCGTTCCCAGTGGAACACATAGGGCTTCAAACTAGAGCTTTGAAGTTTCAGTAGCAGTGGTGTGTTTTACGGGATGAGCTTGCTAGCTTCACTCCCCAACCTTTCCCCTTCATAAGGCTTACAACCACCGGCCAAGCTACGTAGAAGAGTGCGCTGGCCGGGGATCGAACCTCGGACCACTTGTTTGGTTGATCAGTATCCTATCACTGAACCATCGACGCTTGTGATACTGAACTGTGGATGTTTCATTTCACGAAATTAGCATTACAAGGATAACTTAGATGTGATAATAGTATTTGAACGCTGTAGTAGTTTATATATCAACATTAAGTAAATTCACTTAATGTAACACACAATGATATGGTATTAATAACCTGAATGACACCTGAGTCACAATACATATATTACTCACAATCATGTCAGGGTACATATATCCGACTTTTTAACTTGCTTCATATAATTCTACGTCGCTGTTTTTTAATACAACTGTTCATATATCAGAGATAGGTGTTGTGTCATTCCTATTATATGCGTTTGACTGATTTGTTGAACAAAACTTTAATGACGCACATGAAAAACATTAAATTCGCAATATGAATATGAAGTTGATGGGAATTTCAACTTCATGGATATTGCCGTAAAACACAAGTCAGATGGTTGATTGCGAAGATTAATCCACTGAAAAACGTACATGGATTGGATGTTACTTGAATTTCAATAGTTTTTGTCCGATTAACTATAAGCGGACACTAGTCAAACTATTATTACAACACAAGGTGAGAATGATATGCTCCAGTGACAAACTGGAGGAGGAGTTGCAGATCATAGAAAAATGTCTAAGAGACAACAGATTTCCACAAAGATTTATCAACAAAATTGGGAAAAGTGAGAACAAAAGAATAAAAGACACTACAGTGAATAAAAGGCCTCTGTTCATCCATCTGAAATTTAAAGGAGACAATATTTCAGGGATAATCAACGGACGAATCAAGAAATCTCTGTCTAGGATATTCCTTGCGGTTAGGTTGACTTCTTTCTGTTAGGTCAATCAAAAGCAGACAGGCACCCTTCCTTTGCTAGCTCCAATTGTGTATATCGACTTATGTGTAGCTGTCGAAGCAGACACATTGGAGAAGCATAAAGAAGGATCTATCTTAGATTTTCTCAGGAAGAGGAAGTAAATCATTGAACAGGACAATCATAAGACATCTGACTGACACATGACCTCAGGCAGAAATCTTGAATTCTTTCAAAATGATAAACAAACAGTCAAGCTGAAGACTCTTGAAGTTTACAGAGGTGGTTGCTATCGAGCGATTAAAACCTGACTTCTGTATTCAGAAAGAAACTGTAGTAAGTATTTCTTTAGCTTGGTAACCCATCTTTTAACCCTAATTAACTTCATCTTTTATTAACTGTGAGTGTCGGTTTCTTTCTACTCTCCCTTAGTTATGCAATCATGTAATATGTGTTATGATTCATATAAGCCTAACTGACAATATTTTTTTCAGATCTTATGCATTAACAATTCTATAATGACTCGCGTGATTATATAATTTATGCACCTCAATATACTTTGTTACCATCCTTGATCCCTACTTTTTATCTTATTCGGGAAACATTGATCAAATTACGCATATCAGTACAGTAATACTATACTTTACTAACTAAAACTTTTGATTCATCTTAGACTTGGAATATGAGGATCATATAGTCCTCCCTCCTAGGTGAAGACGCTGACGAAATGCAGAGTCTTCTCAATACTTTAAGCGGCAACCTGCGAATGTTTGGTATGTAATTCTTTCCTGTGAAATTCAAGATGATGCCACAAGACTGGACTACATTGACTCCTAGTTTAAAGATGGGGAGTGATGTGGTGCGGCGTGTTGACCACTTCACTTATTCGGGAAGTTTTATCAACCAACGCCCGCGGGTTGACCACTGATGAAATTTCAGCAAGGATATAAAAGGCTCGTTTGGTATTTCCCAGCTAACTAACGCGATTTCTGGCGTAGACGTGACATCTGTCTATGTACAGCTCAGCATTTCGATTAATCCTCTTTTATGTCTGTGAGAAATGGCCATTGAAAGTGGAAGACATGAAAAGGCCAGCTAGCTGTCTTTCACCAAAGCTGTCTGCGTTCTATCTCCTATGTTAGGTGACATAACAGGGTGACTAATATTGAGGTTAGGTGTCGAGTATTAGGTAAGGGGGAAAGTCAACCAATGAGGTTGTGAAAGTGAGTCGATTGAAATGACTAAGGCACGTATTACGTATTCCTCAACATAAGATTACTTTGGAAAAGAGCTAGTGGTGGTCAAACACCCAAAAAATGGAATCAATCCGTGAAATCTCTAATAGTTACGTTGAGTCATGTAGGAGGGTGTAGACTTCTAAGAACCGAAGGCTCAAAATCGTTTTCAATGACGGTGCAGATGAATTCGCTCTTTGTGATCTGCTATCCTCATTAAAACCTATTGTTTTTCTATCTTACTATCCTTTCTCCCTCCCCTTGGCCACCGATATCCATGCTGAAAATGCCATACTTGTACTGAAAATACGTGTGGCATAAGGATCATATTTCGGCTTATTATCGTTCTTTCGAATCTCTTTCTTTTTTGTCTTCCTCTGTGTGCTACATGGTGCATGCCAACTCGAACTGCTGCACTTCTCTATAGAGTCCTATGTTGAAACCAAAGTAGTTATACGGCAGAAACAAAAAGTCCGAAAACAATGAAATATTATTAATACAAACGAAAGTTAAAAGAGGAAATTACTAACCTTCATTTGATTTCAGTGCACCTTCTAACCTTGGACGTTTAGCTTTTCTCCGCCAGTGTTCAGGACCTGCCCACATACCCAATAAGTGATCATTTAATTTTCCAAAATGTTCATACTGTTTATCCAGCATACTTTTCAAACAGGAGACAAATAATTCACTCTCGTTTGTCGGTTCTGTATTGCTTTTAGACACAAGTAGAGTAAAATATTGCACCATAATAATAACAAACTCACAAAATTAGTTTAAAAATGATCAGCTAATTTCCAATAAACAGGGAAACAAAAAATAACGAAGACTGCGGCTATCATTGAATGCCAGCATACACCTTAAGTTAATTCAAGCACCAGACATAAAGAAAGCTATTAATGCTCAACTATAGTACAGAAGAGGAGGATACTGAATTCAGAAAACAATCTCCGTCCCATTGAGATTATAAAACCCACTAATGTTGATTTGCAGAAACTAACTGTTCTACAACCTTGTATCAAATCAGAAAAAGTTATGACCGGATTGAATGGGTTTATGTATCAGGTCACTATTGACTATTCGTCTAGTTCATTCAACGTGAATGTTTTAACACCCAAAGTGAAAGATTCAGTAGGGATCAGAATAATTTAGTTACCTTCTGAATTTCCGAATAACTTATCATCGTTCATATATTTAGTCACCATCTTGTTGTTTCCTCGTCACACCTATTGTCTTACACCCTCTGGTGTCCAATATTCCCACCTGTAGCTAATTATGCCGATCAAATATTTTTGTCCTTCACAGACACTTCATAGAAGCTAAGACCAACAGACCTCCACACACCTTCATAAGACTGATTGACAGAACTTGCAATAGCTCATGTGTGATTTATCTTTTCCATAACCATCTAGACATTATTATGAGGACTGTTTCATTTCCCCGGTGAAAACGCCTTATCAATTACACACCCTCATAGAACTCTGTCCAATCTCATATCATCACTTACAATTATCATGCACAACAGTCTGTCAATTATGATGTCATATCACTCAGAGGTATCTCTGAAATACTGGCTTCTCCAAACCCACAAAACCTAGTGAAAGTTATCCCCACACAAATTACATTGCACTTCCTCCCGTTTTCCTCCCTCTTCTTCATTCTTTGACTTCAGAGTGGAACATTGGGGTTGAGTCTTAAAATCTTGAAGTTCCACTAGTCGTGTTGTTTTTACAAGTCAGGGTTAGCTCTGACACGCCTAGCCTTCCGTCTTTTCCGAGCTTACTATCACTTAGCTATCTTCGCGAAGTTCAAGAGTGCACCGGACTGGGATCGAACTTTGGACCAAGTACGTGTACGTGGTAAATGAGCATTCATTCTACCACTGAACCACCGACAACGAATTGTTCTCCTCACTTAACTACATCTCTTCTGTCAAATGTTGGAACAGTGAATAACAAAGATTTGTTTCACATGAAATTTTCGTGTGTGCGATGCTGTTAGGGATACCTGATGACAGCTGAGTATGTAACATGCGACTACACACAGAAGCGTAGCACTTCAAGTTTTTCACACTTCATGAAAGCACACATAAATGTGGGAAAAGAGGAAATAAACGCAACGAAACCGCAATAGGTGGAAATGTGCATAGGGAAGAATAATTATAAGGAGAATGATGAGGATTTAATGAATCCAAGATATCACAAAGAGTGAATATACCTTTGTCATTCAGGACAATTTCGAGTCATATTATCTCTCGATCAACTTCCAGCCAGGCAGTCTACACCTTCGTATGTGGCTTAAGGCAATCGTCAAAGACTTTACGGATCGATGTCATGCTTTGATGCAGAGATGCACATTTAAAGCTTTGGAACAAACACTCAGATATTCAAGGTCCTCAAAGTGGAATATACGATGTTAAAGGTAAGTGAAATGCAAACTGACGTAGTTCGAACATGGAGGATAAAAATCTCACGAATGCATTCACAACATTACCTAGAATGTTTGATTTTTATGCATTGGAAAGTAACTTCACCTCACAGCATAAGAGGGTAATAAGGACACACACATGAAGTCACAGAGTTCAACGCTTTACTTTTAAAATATTCTAAATCATAATGAGCTTTTCTTAAAACAAAATATATATCGAGGCGCTTTGTATGTATGGCAATTTTTGTCATAGATTCATCCTCTTTGCTATTAGTTTTATTCTTTCTATGTTCCAGTAGTACACAGTCACAAAATATATCAATGATCTTATCATCAAATCATAGCAAATAAGCACTTATTAATAATTATCAGATTAATTACACCATTTCACCAACCGTTAACTTTTATTCTAACTTAAAGTCTACATATTTGCTGATCATCAGCCTAGTGTATGTGTCTGTCTTATAAATTTATTGAAAAATTAAATCCAAACAAAGACATTTCAATTTTTAACAATAAAAAATAGAGTCAGTTTTTGCTCTCTCTCTCTCTCTCTCTCCGTTAACAAATCAATATTTAGCGAAGAAAAATTCATAAAACTTATATATGCATATGCATATATGAACAGAAAGAAAAAAACAAAACAAACAAACAAACAACAAAAGCTTTTTAAATTACATTTCTGTTGCACCAACACTAGCCCCTGCATTATTTTCCCCATTTTCATTATGCTGAGCTTCTGCTGATGCACCATTGGCTTCAATTTCCATACCTGATGTTTCTAATACTGGGTCCATGTTAGCATCTAATAATAATAAAAAATTAGAAATAAGGGAGGATATTAAATTATACAGGGTGTGTTAAGCAATACACATTTTAGTCCTTATTATTCCTAGTGAGTGCTTTTTCAAAAGGGATGCCGACTGAAAATCACAACACTTGTGGCATGTGCTACTGATAAAATGTGTGCATAATTTGGCTATATAGAGATACCTTTATCAAGTCTTTCGTCTTCTACCGTTACATACTCACCAGAATTCTAGGTGAAACAGTGACAACTGTGGAATTGTGATTCACTGGCTTAGATATTCAACGTCTAATTAATGGGACATGAATACACAACCTGATTCCCCTGTAACGACAGACCAGGCGACAGATCGTTCATTGAGAAAATCAAGAGATATTTATAGATTTTTATGTACATTGTTGTCAACGGAGAAGCTACGTCTTCTGATTGGCTGTTTTCTTACTGAAGGTTATTCTGTACTGCTTGTGACCGTTTCTCAGAAAGCTAAACCATATATCTGCGAATCGTATTTGCACACGTTAAGTCTGCTGTGATTGGTTGGTGAGTTCCTCAAGGTTAAGCTTTGTTATTGTTTTTCTCATGACCCCTATTCGGGACGTAAACATTGACGTAAATTGCTGTCTACAATTTTGGCCTGTTCGCAGCCAGCTCTCACCACACCCCTACTTTATTTATTTGAGCAGCTAGATAGTATCATAAATTAGCGAACACACTATGTGTAACTAAGTATAACACAAAAACATCTCAGGCAACTAAGCTATATGTATACAACATAACGAGATTACCGACACTGTCAGAAGTAATAGTGAACGATTTGTAGTAGTTATTTTAGTTGATGCTAACTAGCAGTGGAGTCCTGGAATGAACTTGTTTCAACGTAGAACTTTGCACAGATGTGCAGAAGTTCGAGTTGCCACTCTCGCTCCTTGTGAGCATACAAAGCAAGAGGAGATTAAAAAAGAGATTCAAAAGAGAGAGAGATAATAAACAGAAATATGAGGCAAAAAGAATAGTAATATGGAAGAACAAAAGAAATTTATTGGACTAATGAAGCCATGTTTTGGTTTGACCACCACTAACTCTTTTCCGACCTCACCGATCCTATGTCAGCAGCTAACATTGCCCATCGAGGAAGGCGATACCTAGGCATACGTAACACATATCTTAACCATCTCAATAGGTATAACTTCACAACCTAGTCGATTGATTTCTCCTCCACCTACCCAGCACTCGACCTATGCCTCACCTCATTATACCAATTAACATGGGAGATAGAACGCAGGCACCTATGATCAAAGACAGCTAGCCAGCCTTTTCATGTCTTCCACTTTCAATGTCCATGTCTTATTCGCAGCCATAAAGGAGGACAGAGCGAACTGCTGGGTAGTACACACGCCCTTTGGTCGATAGCCAGTCAGATAACACGTCTACGCCAGAGATGGCATAAGTTGGCATGTGCCAAACGAGCCTTCTGTATCCGTGCTGAGACTTTGTCAGCCAGTGAAATCCTACATACTCATTTCGTCCTATTTGGGATTCGTCCGCTGGATGTACCCGGATTCGCGGTGAATGATGGTGTTCTCACTGAGACTCGAACACTGCACCAATCAGTTCAAACGCCAAAGCATTAACTACTAGGCCAAGTGAGCTACCTCTTGTGCAATGAATAACAGCTGTTATTTGTTTGTTTTTTTACAGTAATTTGCATTTCCCGTAGATTGGGTAAGTTGAATTGAAATGCCTGATCTCTACTCACATGTCAGTATTACTCAATGGGAATACAGGTACATCAACTTGACATGTTCCAGGTAGGGCGAAATGCGCAGTCTGGATTCTACTGCTGATCACCGTCAATCAAAATAACTTCACATCGATCCCGAAACGTAATCGAGGCGTCCGTACAAGGAGCCAGCATGTCAACAGAGATCGAGCATTTCGGTTCAGCATAACCAATCAACGGGGAATGCAAATTAACCGAAAAAAGAGAAGACATTCAGCGAAGATCTTTCGGCGAATCATTCACATAGCTGTACAATCGCATTTATATATAATATTTGTGTGTGTGTGTACATGAGGTTTGTCAAGTTTAGATAATTGATTAGTTAATACAAGAATGATGTAGTATAGAGACAAAGTTAATGAGACAGCAACTAAAGTAAGACTGAGTTAAAAAACTAGATGACGTAATATAATTGGCTAAAATGTTACAACTTAGGTCAGGATAGCAACAGAGGTAATTACAGGTAGAGATTAAGTAGAAGTGAAATTGAGTGAATAAGTTGGATGACGTAACATGAATGACTAGAAGATTATAAAAAAATATACTAATGAAGAGACAGAAGAAAAGATAGGTAGAATTTACATGTCGGCTAATAAGATAGATTACGTCCATTGCAAGTGCAGTGATTGAACGAACTTCTTCTGTATGCAGAGTTCAGGACTTAGCAAGTGAATCGCCATTGCTTCTGCAGTTTGAAGAAGTCTGATTCGTACACCTTTAGGGAGACTACTTCTTACTCTGTAGACGACTTTGAAGTTTGTTTGCGGTGTAGCTTGGTGTCCGGATTCTATCAGATGTTCTAAGATGGAACTGCGGGGGCATCGATTTTCTCCTTTGTAAAACCATGCTGGTAAGTGCTCGGTGATACGTTTGGAAAGCGAGCGCTGGGTACGGCCGACATACCTGGCTCCACACGAGCAGGTGAACTGATAAATGCACATTGATGAGGCCAGCAGCGGTAGCTTATCCTTCACGTTCACATGAATCATAGGTTTTGTGGAGAAGGTTAGTCGTAGTTCAGCTGCGAAGAAGGTCTTCTTAAGTGAGCGCGACAGTCGATTTTTATGTTCGCAGATACTGTAGAGTATTTTTCTTGACGCTAAGTATGGGCGGCTTTCTGGTCTAGGATTCATAGATTTTGCAATAAATCTTTCTGGATAGCAATCTCACGAGATTCTATTACATATATACGTCATCTAGTTTTTACTCAGTCTTACTTTAGTTGCTGTCTCATTAACTTTGTCTCTATACTACATCATTCTTGTATTAACTAATCAATTATCTAAACTTGACAAACCTCATGTACACACACACACACAAATATTTATATATAAATGCGATTGTACAGCTATGTGAATGAATTCGCCGAAAAGAGTCTCTTCGCTGAATGTCTTCTCTTTTTCATATGACTCAATGGGGATTTTCAATCTACTTCGAGAAAGCAAATATTTACAGGAATTATTACTTATAAATATCTAACTTCCAAATGATTTTCATTCGGATAATTAGTTTCTATCTTCCTTATTACAATTGATATATACAAGATATATAGTCTGGCTAGTCGCAGACACTGTAGAAAGGTCTATGAAATGTCTTGGACGACAGGCTAAATATGCTTGATAAGCACTTGTCAACCTCAAAAAGTAAAGTAACGTTTCATGCGTGGTAAGTATTCATAAAATATCTGACAGTTATAATTATTTTAAGCACATAGAGGATGACATCGACACTAATGGATTGGCAGTAAAGTGGGTAAAAACGCTAGCACATTTTTGGCAGGAATATTATTTTTTAACAGTAGCGAGGATCTGATGGTTCATGATGATGATGATTTGTTTGATGTTCTTCAAGTTTTGATATTTGGACCATAGATTTTATTATAAAAAACTAGTAGAATTCATCAGTGATTATTTCATAGGGAATGGCGTCGGTGGCACAGCGGTAGAATGCTCGCCGACCACGCATGCTGTCAGAGGTTCGATCCCTGGCCGAAGCACTTCTTTACCTCGCTAAGCCGGTAATAAGACTGGTAAAGAGGGAAGGTTGGGCATGAGGCTAGCAACCCAGTCCCGTAAAAATAAACACCACTGCTACCGAAACTTCAAACCTCTAGCTTGAAGCCCTAAGTTCCACTGGGAATTTACAGGAATTAAAAGACTTCATAAGGAAAGTGTCTCTTAAATATCATCAGGAGATTCAATGCAATACTCTGCAAGTGTAGAAGTTTGAGGGAAACTACTTTTTACTAAGTGCCTAAAGACAGTAGATACTACGTCACCTTCATCAAAATATGCCTATCAACAAGACACAAGAGTGGAAAACCAACTCAACTGACAAGACAAATTACATCACCACATACTGTGGATTGTTCGGCCACTTACCCCTTTCGGTATAACTCTCTGGATGGTAAACATTATAAGGAAATATTCAACAATAAACGTGCATAAATTTTGATGAAATAATCACCGATGAAGTCACCTAGCGTGGCGGTAAAACATTCACCAACAAATATCAAAGCTCAGAGAAAAAACAGCTATCGCTTTATTATTTATTTAACTAGCGCAGTGTTAAGATATTTAACAAGAGTTAAGCGCACTTGATTGTGTGACAAATATTTGCAAAGTATGTTACCTCACTATCTCACCACTTAAATCTCAATAACATTTCTTCTTCTTCCATTTTACATTTATGACTGACACGAAAATTCTAGAACTCTGAGGGACGTCTCCACTGATTTATTTCTTCCTTCGCGTCTCAAATGGAACATAGGGCTTCAAGCTTGAGCATTGCAGTTTCAGCAGCAGTAGGTTTTATACAGGGGGGGGGTTGAAAACCTCACACTCAACCTTCCCAGACTACCGGGTTTATTAACGACTAAGGTTTAGAAGTAGGTAGACCGGCGATCGAACCCCAGATTACGTGAGTGGTTAGCGAGTGTCCTACCAGTGAGACCAGTGGCACAAAAGAAGCCGGCAACATTTGCGATTCCCGGCAAGTCACCCATGTAAGTACCAATCGGGCTTAAGAATCTGTGTTTCCAGTGTGTGGTATAGCCTCTGAGTGATACTACCTACAACCAGTTCGAACAGTAAGGATGACAAAAATTAAAGAGGTGCAACACAACTTCTATGTGAAGATGATGTACTAGAAATGGGTCAGCACTTGTTGTGCAACAGATACTGATACTATCTGAAGTAGTCAGACATCGATGTGCAGAGAGCTATCCATCGGTTGAGTATGCATCGTCAAATGATGGAATTAGTGATTATTTTGATATGCGAAAAACTTACCTTCACGTATTGTGTTATCACCAAAACTGTTATCTGCGGACAGAAAATTAATTCCATTGTCATCGTCATCATCATTGTCTAGGTCAAATGCATCAATTGGCTGTGTATTTGCATCCCAGTCCCCTTGGTTGCTTGTCTAAAAAAATTAGAAATATGTACACATAAGTTTATACATTTTAGTAATCCACGTAAAGGATAAAATCTTACCCTAACCTGCCTAAGCAATCCCCAACTAGACACAGCTGCTTGTCATGTGAACAACAATGACTTTATAATTTCTGTTTAGTACTAAAGATTTGAAATAACATTTTATCACAAATTTATCTCTTTGTGAAATTGCGCGGACAGCGAAATGTCTTGACACACACACACAACATGATATTCAGTATTTAATGTGAATCAATGAGAGATAACTGAGATGACAGGAAGATGCTTCATATCAAACAATTTGAAAGTAACAGGAGATTCTTTATATACATACTGTAATTACAGAATTTTCTATTGTCCTTCACCCTAAGGATCTGGTTCCTGACCTACGAGTTCTCGCTTTGAATCAAAATTCACCTATTTTGGTCTAGAAAACCAAATAGTATTAAAAGCTCTTGTACATCAAGCGTAACACTCTGAAAATCAAATCAACTGGCCTATAGCCAGATTAAATGCAACCAGTTACCATCCGATACCCCCCTGAATGGGATGTAGACATCGGTCATCTAATCGTGACTGAGGTTGTAAAAGCTATTTCTACTCTACGATGAGACGGAGCAGCAAAACCCAGTGGTAATGAATTATTAAAAAAGTTAACTTAGATATTGGGTAATATGCGGGAGTTTGGGATAGTCACGTTGGAACAGTGTGAGCTATTGATTATTGCGGTTTATAAAAAGGGAAACACATCGTCCTTTAATAATCATAGAGGCATAAGGTTGAATGACATAGTAACTCAAGTTCTAGGTTATATGATCATGCGTAGACTTAGCGCTGCTAGGGAGAAACAAAGCCGTGTGAACCAATTAGGCTTTAGGTCAGGAAGAAGGTGTATTGATTATATCTTCAGCTTTCGACAGATTCTGAGATACAGACATTCTTACCGGTGCACAACACTGGCCATATTTCTTGGCCTGAAGGCAGAATTCGACTCAGTCAAATGAAAGGTGCTGTGACAGTATCTGGCCATAAAGAAAGTGTCGAGAACTAAACAGGGCACTTCACTCGAACTCATGCAGCCGTGTTAGAGCTTATGAGTTGTCATTTGAAGTAGAGACAACCAGTGGTGTCCGTCAAAAATGCGCAATATCTCCACTTTTATCCAATTTCGTCATATTTTATTTTATTTTTTTATTTTTGATTACAGTTTGATGCCACACCGTATTTTCAGTACAAGTATGGAATTTTCAGCATGGATATCGGTAGCCCAAATTTTGCAGGCCGACCATAGATATCGGGTGTGCGTCGGCAGGGGATCGAACCCCGGACCATGTGCATGGTCGGCGAGAGTCCTAACCACTGTGCCACCGACGCACTGTTAGAAGTGGTTTTCATCTACTTTGACGGCTTATATATATATATATATATATATATATATATATATGAGACTATAGAGCTATGTGAATGAACTTGCCGAACAGAGGCTCTTCAGCAAACTGCCTGCTCTATTTATATTTTTTCATATCAAAAAACAATAGACACAGATGGAATTGCACAAAAGGAAACTATACTTACGTTAAGGGCATCTTTGGTTGGATCCCAATCAGTGAAATGAAAGTTTTGCAATGTAGAACATATTGATAACTGATTCAAAGACTTTGTGATTAACACAGATAAGAATTCAGTAAGATTTGTAGCATTTATAATTTTTGGTTGAGGTATGGTCGATGTACGCAACATGACAGGTGTCGATGAATCCAGAATTAACTCGCATGAAGCATTAGCAGTAGAGAGTTGATTCAATCTTAACTCAGCTGTACCACCGTCATCGTATGCAGCTGTTTGATGTTGAAACAAAGGATCAACCTAAATTGAGAGGAAATGAGTAAGTCAAATTATTGATTTCATTGTAAAAGGTGCATTAAATCTTGTACATATATGAACTAAGTTAAACATTCGATGTTGACATTAGAGAAGATTATGGTCTAAGTGAGTTGGGATCTACTTATATTTAATGTAATTCCTGTAGGCTTTCAAAAAGTGTAGTTCATGTTCCACTCCTCGTGTTGTGAATATGCAGGTTCCAAACAATGAGAGTGGAAGTGATAGTGATATAGTTTTCTAAATCCCTACAGTAAGATTATAAAGTAATTTTAAAAGTATTTAACAGAAAATGTTATAGACACACACTAAACTGCATGTATGAACTTACATCAATCTTATCAGCCAGTGTTTTGATCCGAATTTTATTCAACTGTTTATGAATTATATCTCGATGTGCTGTAACCTTCTTTTTTTGCTCTGGTTTAGATTGAGCATGGGCTTCATCATCTTCATCATTATTAACACTATTATTATTTTCATCATTATCACCCTTATCTTCAACATTCCGAGACTTGTCTGAACGGCCAAGTCCAGTAAGCACTTGATATGTTTCTTGGTGCACAGCATCTACACGACCGGCATAGATTTTCGCACCAGCATCCAACGACGAGCTAGCCACCTAGAAATCATGTATGAGATAGTCGTTATGAATTCGTACAGCGACAAATAAAGTTTATACGTAGTGTTAGAATAATTAACTGAGATAATATTTATGCAAAAAGACATTTTGCTATGCGAAAAAGTACTTATGACCAGAAAGGAAATGTAATAAAAAATAATGCATATATAGGTGCACTTCTTATGAGAAGTTTTAAACCTGATTGAGGTGTGTTTCTCCCACTAGATTTCGTAGCACAGGAAAATTTTGAGGTTATGACTTATGTTGAAGATGATGTCTAGTAAGCTCAACACATTTAATGGTGTTTGATAGAGATATCCGCAGTTTTGATTTCGTCTTTACTACAAATGTAATTACCTATAGAGGTTACGCTATTTTGGCGTCCTGGCAATTGATTACATTAGAGGTTTATTGATAAGCTGAAAATGTGCAAAGATGCACACGAAGATTTTGAAAGCATAGTCTTCTTAACATGGTCGTGTATATCAACAACCACATGCATTCGCATGCAGTTGGGAATGGGTCACATCTATTGTGTGAAAGCAAATAGTATTCATTTATTTTTTATTTTACTGTAGCTTGATTTCACACAGTATTTTGGTAGAAGTATGGAATTTTCAGCATGTGATATCGGTAGCCCAAATTTAGCACGCCGACCATTATTGATATCAGTTGTGCGTCGGCCGGATTCCGAATAGAACACAGGGTTTCAACAAAACATCTCCATTTTATCCTGTCTTCTGCGGTCCTCTTTAGCTGGCTCGAAGATTGCCCAAAAAGTTCAAATAGTACTTCCTTGCTATTCAAACGTTGATAAATACAGCGTGATTCAGGCTTGTGACCTAGCGGTCGAGGGTCGAAAGCCACAGCTTCTTCAGCGTATAGTGTCATTTTGAAAACGTTTCCCCATCTTTTCCAATTCTGGTATGAGGAACACAAGCAATAACTGTCCTCATGAGAACTACAAACAGATAACTCACATCTAATTGCATGGCTCAACTCAACAGTAAATGACTTTTGTCCAACTTAATATTACATCAGGTAGCATTGTTTATTGAAGGTGGTGGCTGATTATGTATGTCATCGCTCAATTTCTCTTCCTTATCTACCATTTCGCGTCTAATCTTTGTGTAAGTAATGTTGAAAATATCCTATGGTATGAAACCATTCTTTTATTATCCTCTACCTTCAACAGACAGGCATTTAAACCAGAAAATAGGACAACGAACCACTGGACGAAACAGTCACCCTTTGATAGCTAGTTGGACATTTCGCCGACCTAAAGGGTTGTTGACAAGCGCCACAATGGCTTTTGGTATCCATGGTGAGATTTCGCCAGAAACAAAATTTATTAGATTTTTCTAATATTAAATGGATTTACTTTTGTTGACCAGTGACTAATGTCTACCCAAATAACTATGCAAAAGTCTGGTGACCTGTTTTGTGCACAATTCATTTTAAAACCACTGTGTTGACTGGATTAATGTCAACTTATAAATGATCAAACCACTTAAAAAGAACTCAAAAATACTTCATACCTGAAAGGTCTCATATTTTCCACTTTTTATCACTTCACTCATATAATCTATGAGGTGTAAACTGAAAGCATTTTTCGCCGTGATTTTATTTTCTGCAGCCAGTCGAATACAATTGCCATAATGCTCTCCTATTTGTGCTTGTGGGATACCTCGTGGAGCTGCAGCATCAGCACGGTTTTTGGAAATAGAAGAGTTCCCTCCTGGACTACTTACACCAGAAAGATGGGGTTCAAGTAGACGAGATTTTCGTCGAGCCAAACGTTCATCCTCATCATTATTTTCATCTAAGAGTAATCAGAATAAATATGTAAATAAAAGGATCACCTAAAGAGAGTACCAAGTTACTGACCGTGCGGTTTACAAAAAAATCACTTAATAAAAAAGCTACGGCGAACCTCTTGATTTCAAAATATTTGCTACGTGATAAACACATTTACGTGACGTAACTAAGAATATTATTTTAAATGTAAATAGGAACATTCTATTCAAAAACCAGTCAGTCAAAAATGCGTAAGCTTTAGAGTGGGCACATTTAATCATGAGGCATTTAAATTTAACACCGCTCGAATAAAATATCACAGAAACCATGTATAAAACAATGGACAAAATGTAGGATTCAAATTATCTTCACACCACGGCAAGTGCAGAAAGCAACCGCAAGTAAACATAAAACCAGCAGAACATAGGTAAAATCAATATGATCGATTCCGTATTCTGTCGTTGAGTTTTGAACTACTAATCCCTAATATAGAAACTTCCATATAATTGCTAAGCAGGCAGCTAGGTGCCCGAGTTTTTAAGTATTGATAAGAAATCTAATAACTGCATTTTCAAAACGTACTATAAGGACGTGTTCTTGTTGAATGCATTCTGTCCAATTTTCTGAGGTGTCAAATATTATTGACAAGTGTGGATGTTCTTCCAGTTCTTAGGTGGACTTCATTCTTGAATCAATCGAAGAACTCTTTGGTTCTCTCGAGTATGATTAAAACACGAATCTAGTTACCTAGGAATCTCTTACAGTCTAGTCATCTACGTTAGCAGCGATGATTAATAATTTTTTTAAACGCCAGTAAACCGGATACTGTAGCCGGGTATCTACTGTTAGTGTAGACAGTTTGGACTAAAGCGAGAGTTTAAGAGCAAAGTTATGATGACAGCCCTAAGGTGCTACTTTCAGTACTTCTGCTTCACCATTTTCTTATCCCAGAAGGATATCGTTGCATGCTGCCCTGAGAGGTGTGCACAAAATTTCGTATTGGAGCTTTCCATTACCGGGTGAAAGGCATGTGATCGAAACTGAGGAATCCGACAAAATTACCGGGAATGTGAACGACTGAAAGAAATATTTCACGAGCTCCATTGCTAAGTAGGAGTTATTTAGTTTATTTTCATGGCACCATGAGAATATATAGACCTACAAGATGGATGACATAAATACAAATCACTAACACACAAAATAATATAAAACTACGTCATTTAAATATACTACATTCACATAAATCCTTAACAGTAGCAAAATCTACCACTAATTTTTCTTTTTACTGAAACTGCCAGGAGCTCAGTCTAATCAAGCTTATTAAACCTAACTATGGAACAGTTGGAGAATAGTGATCCGAGCATACAAAAGCATGGAAGAAACAGGAATGACTGAGAGCTCGCGAAGGCAACAATAATAGGTAACCGAAGATTGGGTTTATTTTTTTGTAACAGCGGCTGATCTATATCGACGTAGTAGATATAGTTTACAAACTGTCTAAAAGCAAGTTCTAACCTCAACGCCTACCCCTAATAATTAATCTTTATCGAACTCTTGAAGCTAAACAATAAAAATAAGAAGAATATCAAAACCTCTAAGAAAACATGAACGTTACTATTGCAAAAAATAGAAGTAGGGAATCTGTCTAGTATTATCACACCTATTTCAACATTTTCTATGAAAATACCTTTTCTCAATCTAAATTAGTCTAGTTAACTCTGACTGGCTGTTCTAACTTCGCTGCATCGGCCACGAACAAGGATTATTCTGCAAAATATATTAGGTAGCAGTCTACAACCTTATAGAATAGATAGTACTAACTATTTAAGACATGTCCTGATATGATGGTGAGATCACAAAGCGCAAGTGTTACCGCTCCCTCTACACCAAATTACTAGGAATATACACCAAATTTATTTTGCCGGTTTTAGAGAAGACCAACTTCTAATATCCAAGGCGTACATTGAAGCAAAGTAATTTTCGCAGATGTCTGCCTAGCCTATTACGTAAAGGTAGGGGTAGTGCCACCAATTACACCTCTAAGCAGAAAGAACGGTCATCAGACTGATTTGCACATTATAGTCAAAGCTTCGACATAATTGTAACCAATTTACATTGTGCACAGACATTAGTTTCCCCAAGATGGGAACAAGAGATTGAAAACATTCAAAAAACAATGGTATAATGCAGACAAAGAGTTTAACTTCCACTGAAACAGAAAATTATTTGGGGGATAAAATGGAAGTAAAATTAAACACCCAAAATATACATAGTAGTAATACATATGTTTAAACACTATCGCTTCAGAGTAGAATATCCTCGAAAGAATTAACTAGGATTTCTATCTCATCAGCTTGGCTTAGCATAGCTTTACTGTGACTATAAAATAAAAAGACATTCCTACTCAGCTGGAGAGATCTCATAATAAACGCGTCATGTGTGGAATGATTTGAGCGCGACGGAAAAACGCAATGCACGTTTATCTTGCCTGTGTAACAAACCTTTTACCCTTGTTTCCCGATTATCCAGTCTTTCAACTATTCTACGTAAAACGTGCAAGTTAATACATCCCACTTTCACACTTATACAACCTCAATATACACCACCATATAAATAAATGCAATAAAAATCAACTAAACTGTGCATTGAGGCGAATTTGCAGGTAGTGATGCAATGTGAAAAGCAAAAAATAAAATAAAAAGAATAAACAAAGAATACGAATCAAAACTATCGAAAACAATTACACAAAATTTACCATCCAAAATAACCACAACATTTCCATTTTTCACTGGACTCCCTCCCACTTTCATCCGCATTTTTGGTTTGACGAATTCCTCATCAGAGGATTCTGCCTTAAGAGTGTCGAAAATATTTGCTTGGGATTCAGAAAGTAACATATTAAACCATTCACATAGGCGTAAAACCCACTGAAATCCCGCTAAATTCTAAATTTTGAAAAGCCCGGGAAATAAGTTTCAATATATGAAACATGAAATATTAATGCAGTAATTTTTCTACTCCGAAGTTCTCGCCAGTATGCTCAATGCTGTTTAGTTTTCCTGCCAATATTTGCAAAAATCATGTGTGACCGGTTCGCATCTGTCCTTATCCAAATGAAGAGCACATGTTGGACTCATTCAATGTCCAAACAGACTGATATAAGGATAAAAATTCGGCAATGCGGTAGAGTATAACTCCATTAAGGATAAAATTTAATTTCGATAAAATGGTTTAATTTAGTACCTAAAACCAATAACGCCGGAAGAATGTATGTTACTATAAAAATACATACGCCTGTTACCCCGTTGGACCAATAGTAGATTTCGGAAATACGCTTACTTATGAATTATCATAACACTTAGCTCTGATACTATGTCCCGTTAGAAATCATTCAAACTCTAGACTAACTAGTTCTTATGAAAGGAAAAGGAAACTAAATAACATTCAATTAGAGAATAATGAAAAAATGGTTAGCTTTGATATAACTGGTCTTTACACTAATACACCAATCATTATGGCCTGAGAAGTGGTTAAAAGATAACTAAATCCTGATCCCGATTTCAGTAATTGGACATAGCTGACCACTGAGAAAAATATTTTAAGAATTCAGGCATTCCTCATTTCTAATATCTTTAAACTCTAGGGCAGAATACATAAACAAACAAACGGTGTAGCAATGAGATCACCAATATCCCCTATCGTAGCAGATATATTTATGGACAGCTAGGAAATTAAATACATTCAATCCCACTTCGAAAATATAGTGGAATTATGTGGATGACACTTTCGCAGTGTTAAAAACAGAATATATCTCGAGCATCTTGACACATAAACTCACTAGTAGAGGGAATAAAATTCACATTTGAGTCGAAAAATGAACAAGGAGAATTAGCTGTTATATTGTAAAATAAAGCTATCAGAAGAAGGTAAACTGTACACTAGTGTTTATAAAAAGCCAACACATTCTAATAGATATTTAGACTTTAATTCATCTCATCCGTTAATTGTTAAGACAGGCTCAGTTAAGTGTCTAACAAGCTGAGCGGTAGCACTAAGTAGTACAGAAAAAGACCTAAATGATGAAATAAAACAGGAAGAAGGAGCGTTGTTGCTAAATAACTATCCGACAAAATCCACTAAGAATATAAGCATAAAACTTGGGCACTGTGGTAGAGTATAATTCCATTATGGATAAGATTTTATTATGATAAGTCACACAGTGTTACACAGTAGCATTAACTAATGACGTTTCGAGCACAAATTATTGCCCATAATCATATCAAGTTACTCAGAACTTTTTCCTTCATTTATATCGAAAAACGTCAAAAGCAAGATAAAAATAATGGTAGCATAAATAACAAAGAATATAAAGCACTTACAGTTTTCCCATATAAGTAGGGGAAATCTGAGGTCCTACGTAGGATTCTCAATAAAGCAGGAATTAGTGTGGCATTTATACCAACAAACTCACTCGGGGACAAGGTCTGTAGGTTAAAGGACCCAGTTGACCCAGTTGTATTTGACTGATAATACTAATATTATTTCTTAATGTACTCTGCCATATACTGATTTTATTCAAATGTCTGATCAACTCTTACTCATGTGTATAATAATAGTGATAATTTATATTTCGTATGAACGGCTGAGTTAACATGAAAAGACTGCCACTTTCACAGGCACGGTCAGTTATGTTATGAATTACAATCGCGAAGCATCATAAATTAATACTTTTTCAAAACTTTATATCATTGGATTATCGAGCAAGCAGTCGGGACTGCTTAGTATAAATGTTAAGTTGTAAACTATTCAATAAGGTTGCCATCAAGATTGAGCACAAACGAAACTTCGTTCAGTTTCTTGATGAAAGTCGTGGTCAACGAGTGAACAGCCTATAATAAGGTAAGTGCTGTGCAGCCACGTGATTACATGCTACTTCATGAAAAGAAGAACGTCCTAGGGAACTGCGAAATGGTTTGAGGTGCAGTTATGAACAATACATCATTGGAAGTACATTTACAAGATACTTACAAGAAGGAGGTGGAGACTCCTTGGAATGATAGTATGAATTTGCAATGTTTAATGCCAAACATATTGGTCATAGCATGGAAACTATGATGTTTTCGATGAAAACACAGCTTTGTTCAAACATTGGTATTTTGTTGTGATTTTTCCACCAAAACAACCAAACTTTAAGCGAGCGACGAATAAGAACAAAACAGTGAGTTTTAGCCTTATTTAGAGCCCGATGGTTAAGATAAAATTGCGTATAATAGTGCGTAAATTACAAGATTATCGTGAGGTTGATAAGTGATATTTCAGTGGGAAGTGAGTTCAAAGATCTGGAAAATTAGAACCCGTAAGACAAGCTGGGCTGTAAGATGTCTCACGAATTTGTGTAGGGCTCAATGTGTATCATCTTGACAAGAAGCTGAACAGGCTTGTAGATGGCAGGAGCAAAAGCATTGCTTTAAAATTTAGATCTGCACAACCCTTATAAATGAAACAAAAGAGTTATGTTTACCTGGATAAGATTATGAGCAGTAATTTGTTCTTGAAACGTCATCGGTATATATTATATATATCATGTATATATTCATCCAGGAAATAGTACACACACTGACTCTGTCTCACCTCAGAGCCCCTCCAAACATAACGTAGGAATAGTAACAAGTAACCATGTTAACCTCTCCCCCAATAACTCTGGTTTACTAACGATTATGCTCCTGAATGCTAGATCTCTCCTTAGCAAAATAATATCGCTTCGCTGCCTGGCATACATAGAACGGCCAACACTAATAATGGTGACTGAAACCTGGCTTACTACTGATATACCTGACTCAAAGCTAGTAATAGACAACTACGACATCTATAGGAACGATAGAGTTGACAAAAGAGGAGGCGGCTGCTTAATATATGCCTCTTAATCCACTAACTCCAATACTTTCAATAACCCAACTACTGACAAACTCCCTGAATCTAAGTGGATAAGCATCCACACAAACGAAAATAAAAATTCTCGTGGGATGTATATACAGACCCCCTAATAGCCCTGAAATGACTGATATAGCTATTGGAGAAATACTAGAGCATGCAGCTACGCTGGACTTTGACTACAAAGTAGTCTGTGGCGATTTCAACTTACCTGGAGTAAACTGGGATACCTGTACAGGACCTAGAATCCATGACGAGCTACTACAAGCTATAGACGTAGGCGGATGGAAGCAGTGCGTACGCCTCCCTACAAGAAATGAAAACACTCTTGACCTAATCCTTTGCCATGAAATTGAGCCCATCTCGATAGAGGTAGGAAATAAACTTGATAACAGTGATCACAACATATTGTACTGCACGCTACCCCTCCGACTAACAACTAAACACACACCTAAAAATTCCCCGGTGCACTATCAGTATAGGGACTATAAGAATGCCGATTGGGAATTCCTATCAGATCTGCTGAGAAGTTCTGACTGGGAAGAATACTTCATTAACAATAACTTAGAAGTATCACTCGATATTTTCTACAAAACAATTGGTTCAGCAAGAGACATAATCGAGCCCCTAAAATCTGCTCTAAAGACACCAACTCCATTTATAGACCGCAAAACGCGACTAAAACTAAAGAAATTGAAAAGGAAATACCATGTATTTAAGGAATTTAATGCGTTAAACCAAATACATGAAACTCTTAAACGGCTTGAAGATAAACACAAAATGATGTCACAACTTGATGAAAATAAAGAGCTTGTGGGTAACTCCAAAACTCAGGAACTTTGTAGGATATTGCAGAGACGTCTAAAAAGCAGTAAAGACAATACTGTAAGCAGCTTGGAGCATAAGGGTATAATATACAATGATCCCCAGGTTATAAGTGAACTCCTCAATGAGTGGTTTTGCAATGACGCCAGAGTGCACCCGACCCCAAATTTCCAAATGACCTGCAAAAGCAACCACAAATTAGGCGGAATAGACTTTAATATACAAAATATAGACTCAGCGATTAAGACTTTGAAGTCTAATGGTAGTACTGGAACAGATGACATACTATCTGTCATGTACAAAAATGGTAGCACGGAAATGGTAGTCTTGTTACTTAGAATATTTACTCTCTCGTTGGAAACTGGAACTTATCCTGAAGTGTGGAAAACCACATACAGATTACCTAAGCACAAAGCAGGGGCCAAAACCAGTGTATGCAACTATCGACCTAATATATTACTGTAAAACAACAAAACAAAATTTTATCCATTAGGGATTAGTCTAAATTAACTCCACATAATATAGTATATTTATGATAGCTAACACCCGTAATCGCTTGACTAGTGGAGGCTTTCTCTGTCTATATAGGATAAGACATTACACAGGAAGTTTTTCGCACCATCAATGCCTATGAGGTTAAACAACACTCTATTACATTGTAGTATACATTGAACTTTTGAACTTTTGTTTCAACGCACTCACCCACCTTTGGCACTACTTCATCCTTTGATTTGTGACTTTCCTGTACATACTTGGTTCTCTCTCTCATTGTGCTTTCATTCAGCGCACTCTTCGAGCCTACCACCAGTCAAAGCAGCAGATTAGTTGTATAACACCTTTATTTATTATATTTCATTTGTGTAAAATACAACTCCATCCCAGTCGCACTTCCCATTTCGAGTCTTTTTACTTTGATTTGGTTCGTCAGTACTTACACGTTAGGTAGAGTACTGCTAAGGTTATTAAGCGGTGAAGTTTTTAGTAAGTGTGGTTATTTTGAGGTCTATGGTAAGCCTAGTCCAACACTTACAGCATTATGTAGCAAATTATAATTAGAAACATGCCGATTTTAAGTGTAGTTTGAAACGTGTTTATGCTGACCCACAATCTACTTCCGTATTAAGTGACTTCGTTCATAAACCCTAGAACAAATACGCAGCACGAACTTACCATTATACTTACATAACCATTCATGGGAAATCAAGAAAATGAAGACAAATTATGGGTCTGCCCTCAGAGATGGCTACATTGCATGGATCAGGATTTGCATTTACACCCAGAAAACACCAAAATGTCCTCCCCCTGCCTGAGAGAATGCCCTGTTCTAACCGAATGTTATTCTCACA